TTTTGTTGTTTTTGACTGTCTTATCCTCTATAGGTTTGTCTAAACCCTTGTAAAGCTATCCAGGTTGGTAGCCATCACTACCGCTTATAGCAAATTCTGTACTTTAAATAGTGCCTTCGGGTTTTCCTAGAATTAATTGAAAATTTATCAAAATTAAGGTTCTTGCATTTTCAAATGCAAGAAAAACCATATTGGAAAAAGACTGGTGAGACAGGGAACATCTTGGTGCTTGACTAATATGCTCTAGAACCAAAGATATGACTCATAGTCATCTGGCATGCATCAGCCGAGGGCACGTACCCAGTAAATTTCTTAGAATACATTTGGGTTTGTCTGTTTTCTAAGAAATTTTTGGACACAGAAAACTCTGCTTTTGTTGGGACTGTGATTTCACTAACTTCAAAACATATTGCTTCCCCTTGTTCACTTTCACTTCTTTCACCATTTTTTTCTTAAAACATAACCTTTTAGGATTACACTTGTCTGCTTAAGTCTTTTAGGTGGTGTTCCTTCTTCACTGTTGAACTCCTGAAATTTTTTAGCTTCTTGGTAGACTTCATGGAAAGGGCTGTTTTTAATCCTTTGGCTTCAAGTACTTGAGAAAGTTTCAACAGCCCAGTCATTACTGAGCTAGCACAGCTGGGAGCTGTAGGACTTTTTTGTTCCTGTTTTGACATGTGTAAGATTGTCCCCTTAGTTGATTCTTAATATTAATATTAAAAAAGCACTTTTGGGAGTAGGGAGGGAATCTGAGCAAGCATTGCGATAGCTTTCTCTTCGCTTGCTGTGTGGATATTAGCATGGAAAACTATGCCCTCCACAGGACAATTGTGAGAATTGCAAGCCAATTTCCTCCCAATCTCCACAGAGATTATTTTGTAACTAATATCTAGGCCAAGATCCCACATTAATCAAAGGAATAACTGTGAGATGCCGGCACTGACCCAAGCAAAGCATGTGGTCAGAAAGCAAACGATATTAGATGCATCAAAAGGAAGGCTAATGGCATCATGCAGTGGATAACCTCTTTAGATGCTATACAGAAGCACTAAACTCTCATGGGAATCTCCTGCATATTTTTTCTTATGGAACCCATGCATCTGAAGCCATACAGTCCAAATCCTATGCATGTTTCCCCAAAAGTAAAGCCAGCTGAGTGCAATGAGTGTGCATAGGATTGCAACCATAGGTTCTTCGACAACCCATGGGCTTAAAACACAAGTGGAGAGGAGAGGATGGCCCTTTATATAATTCATAAGGTGACTTAATAATCACAGCAAAAGATACTTTTCTATGATCTGTAAGTATGTATAATAACTACCCACCAAAAACGTAGGATGTGCTTAAAAAAATAATCTTGAACCATGTTGTAGTTAGTCGCAAAGTCGTGTCCAACCCATCGCAACCCCATGGGCAACATTCCTCCAGGCCTTCTCCCTACAAACAAAACTCAGAACTCCCTGCACCTATTCATTCATGCTTGAACGAATGAATTTCATACCATTCTTCATACAATTAAAAAAAAAGCATTGGCAGTTCCCTAAATAAATAAAGGCAAGCAGCACAAAATTCCTTGTGCTATTTATCTGAAATTTGGCTAGTGTATTGTTCTCCTAAGAGACTGAACCAGTGCCCTGTGATGCGTGCAGAGTTCACCCAGTTCCAACAAAATTATAGACATGATTTGCTTTCCTGTGAGAAAAATAGGGAGCTTCCTAATCAGTTTAACCCAAATTTGACATTTTTCTAGATTGTCAAATTGAGTCCAAACTGAACCTTGTGCTTGGGGCACACACCTACCATATACTCATGACTGGTGGGGTCCAATTATGTGTTTGACTGCACAGTCCACTGGGAACAGTGCAGCCTGGACAACATGGATCCTGTCCATTTACATATGCACATGGAAAGTACACAGAAGTGCTTTCACTTGGATGTGTATGTACTACACATGTTCATATTCTGCCTCTGCTCATCAGCTTAAAAATGACTTGGTCAGGACAAGGGAGCATTAAACCTATTTCTCAACAAGAGGAATATGAGTTCTCTCTCCTTTCACTACATGTTCACTTGCAAGCAGCACAACGGACTGCATTTAAAGGGCACGGCTCCTGATAAATGGTGGACCTTCATGCTCAAAGCTACCTAGCTACCTCTGACCACAGATTTACCATGGGTTTCTTAGGCTGCCCCATGTCAACAGAAGCCTACTTCTGAATGAAATCTTATATTAGTAAGATCTTTCCCCATGCTTAATACCAACAAATAGTTTGGGCAAAATTCAAAGTGCAACTTCCAAACTGTCTTAAAGTAAAATATTTAAACTGATACAAAAACAAGGAACGAAAATACAAAAACAAAGAACCCCCCCCCCCCCCAAACCCAACCCTGTTCTACCCTGCAAAGGAAGGCAGGACATGCGCCAATGGAGCCAAGCTCAGAGAACCAAGGTTCAATTTGGATGCCAGGAAGTACTTCCTGACAGTCAGGACCCCGAGGGCATGGAATGGGCTTCCATGGGAGGTGGTTGAGGCCCCATCAGTGAGGGTGGTCAAGGTTAGGCTAGACATGCACATGGTGGGCATGTCATGAGTGGAGCCGGCTGGAGGCCCCTAGGAAGGGGCCCCTAGGAGGCCCCTAGGAGGCCCCTTCTGACTCACTCAGTTTCTACGTTTCTAAATTATCCTTATTAATTGGCTCAACCCAGCCCCCATGTAAAAGCCTGCAGGCAGTTTTTGTATGCTGAATAGGAGTGGCTGTGAGGTATAGACTTCAGCACATATTGATGTGCCTGAGGTGGGGCAGAACTCACAGCCTGGATATGGGAAAGCCTTTTTGGCACCATACCAAAGTCTGAGGTTGTGGCAAGGTAAACCCCGGGCAGTGAGATAACTGTGTCACCCCCTCCAACCAAACAGAATAATCACCAGCTTGTCATAAAATGGCACTGTGCATGGTGTGGCTCTGAACAGCATGTTTTATGTTGTGATTTCTTTAAACATTTTCTTCCAGTTGAGAAACTCATCCTTGCAGTGCACAGGATTGTGTATGTAGCCTTGTTGTGTCCTCTGCTGTGACAGACCATAGGAAAAGGTTACCATGCCAGTGTTCTGCAAATGTTCCTGCACCTCTGGAATTACCAAGAAATCTCTGATTATCCCAAGTTCTATTTCAGTCTAAAAATGCGCCTGAATACTTCATTCTTCAGTTGTTTCTGCCTCAGCCCATGGCCCAGATACAGCACTACACAACTTTCGCAATGCATGTGTAGATGGATCAGTAGCAGGCGAGTCCTCCATGCACCTGCCTTCTAGGGGATCCACCATGGGATACGGAGTGTGATATGCCTATACTAGGAAAGGTTCGGAGGACTGTGCCTCTTCCAGTGGTCGGAATGAACGCTGCACTGCGTTATGGGTACATATATGTTCCCAGTCTGCGGCAGCTATGATGGGACACTAGCTCTGATAAGGCAGCTAGGGTAAAGGGTAGGTTAGGGTTGTGCTTACTAGGAAGAACACACAAGCAACTGTGGAAAGACTTCCCAAAAAAGGGCAGTTAATTTTAGTACAATTTAGTTACACAAATTAAATTAACTTCTGCAAGCAGTAACATTTTAATGTACTTTACAACATGAAGGGGTCAAAGTACAGTAGAGGTTTCTTCAGCTAAAAATTAGAAGTTTCATTTCCAGGAAGCTTTACAACTGTTGATGTAGGTTTTTGGAGACAAGAGGTAATGAAGACACAACTGAAAGTGGCAGAATTGCAAACTCCTTCAAGGGTGCTGAGTAGGTAGCTAATAGCAGTCTTGCAAGAGAAAGAGAGATGCTGTCAAGTGAAGTGGTGAAATCAGAGAGGGGAGAGGAAGGCCAATGGAGGAGGACAGAGGCTGCATCTACAGCAGTCTGTTGCCTGGTGTTCAGGAACCACGATCAAGAGCAGTATGGCTTCTGTCACTCTTGCCAAGCTCCTCTGTAACCTTTTTCAACAACTGCCACTGAAGTTACCTTTTAAGAAACCACCAACTGTATTCACTTATAAAGGGTCATGTCATGTGAACCGGGGGAGTGAATTCTAGGATATAAATACCATGTTTCCATATATCATTGACCATGTCTTGCTTTTCTCCAAAGGGTTGAGTTTCAGAATTAATATGAGCAATATTCTTCAATTAGTTATTACTCCTGTAATATTTTAATGTATTGTGCTCTGTTCTCCCAAATTTACTTAGGAGCACCATCACCAGTTATAAAGCAGTATTTTATTGTGTTCATGCCCCCATGGAAGTAAACACTTACGAAACAGGAAAGCATTGCTTCAAAAAGCAGCTTGGAATGAGCAGAAATGCTAATTTCTAGGTTGTGCCAATAAAGCTTGTAGAAGAGAACTCCAATTTGTCCTGGCCCAGAAACTTCTGCTTCTTTCTGGCTTACTTCTAGAACTTACAATTCTCCCTTACACAAGTGGTCATTTCCACTAGTGCAAAAGAATCAGTGGGAGCAGAGCAACCTGGCTGGAAACTGATATATATGGTATATACTCAATAGACAGTAACAAGAATATATAGTGAAAAATACCATATTGGCTTTGAAGATACACACTTTAACAGGATTGTTTTGTTTTTAAATTGTTTTAAGTAGTTCTGAGCAGTGCAAATGCAATGGAAACATTTTTTTAAATGGGTATTTTACAGCATATGATAGATGAGTTGGTAGAGCAGGCACATTCCCAGGATTTTTCCTGAAGGTTTTCCCAAAACTAATGCCTGTATCAAGCTTCCTTCACGAAGAGAGAAGCTAGTGGAAAGTCTAGGCAACAAATGCTCATCTAGATGACACACTCAGTTGCCTCTATTATCTCTGTGTAGATTTCCCAACATTTTTACATATAGTGATCACTGGGACAGTTTTTTCCATGCCTTAAATGAACACACACACACACACCCCTGAGCTAACATTCACCCACAAACGTTTCAGAAGAAACCAAACAATACAGGTCTTCTCATGATTATAATTTTTTGGAATGGGTTTTTTTTTCTCAAATTTCAATTCAAATTGTTTTATGCCTTTTTGTTTATAATTTTAAACCATTCCATATTATCTCTTTATTGCAAAAAGTCAACATGCATCTTAGAAATTCAGTGTAATCAATAAAACAAACATTACATGTAAGAATTTAAATGTATAAACAGTTAGAAATCCAACAATATCTCCTAATATACTATTACACAAGTTCACAATCTTGTAAAAACTATAATACAAGTTTACTATACATTGAGAGGAATTTAATATTCCTTTTCACATGATTTTGTTAAAAACTGCAGAAGCATCTCCACTGTATGTGGGCATATGTTTTTCAAATCAGGTTTCCAAAGCTGCTTTCTTATGTTTAAGATTCTTTAAAAAAAAAGTTTTACACCACAGTTAAACTGACAGCTTATATAGTAGTAGCATAAGTATCTGTAAAGCTTTAAGGGGGTGATTCACTGATCATTCCCTTTGTGGCATTCTTCTGGACTGCAAAGGGGTTACACACTGCTTAGTCAGTGAGGTATACGCCACATGTGGTAATATTTTACTTTAGGTAGGCATAGTTTAAGTCACTTGGTAGGTATAGTAATGATATTATGCTGTCCATTATGGCTTATGAATGTGGAAGTGACCATTTCACATCAACTAGAAATAAAGTGTTACCAGAAGATAGCTACCTAGTAACATAAATTATATCCTATTAAGTTCTAATATACAACACAGGGAAATCCATAGCCATGTCAAAATGAAGGTCACTTTGAAGTAGTTTTCCCTTCTCCTTTGTATTAAACGAGTTACCACTATACTGTCCATCACTTACATTCTCAGTAACGTAATAGTATGCTTTCAATACATGAGTTCCGGGGCACAACTCAGTTTTGTGCTTCTGGGCTGAGAAATCACATTTAAGATGTCACTAGTGGGTTTAAGTAATCCAATGTAAACTAAAAAAAGGGGGAAAAACCTCATTATCTAAATCCTGTTGCTGCCCTTCCCTTTCCATGAAAAAAGTCAATACTTTGAAGCAAGGACATTTATCCTTTGATGAACCGTGTGCCAACAAAATGTTATTTAAAACCATATGAAAAGGAATCCTACCTGGTCTAACTGTGCCAAAAGCTATGGAAATTTCTCTTACAGCTTCATTCACTCACTGTAATCTTCCAGATACAAAAATACAAGAATTCATATGGAAATCTAGATGCTGGTAGTTTCAGTACACAAAAAAGTAAAATATTTACAAAATTATACAGTTTTAAGAAAAACCCTGTACAATATATATATATATATATATATATATGCGTGTGTCTGTGTCTGTGTGTGTGTATAATATAAATCCTTTGTTCCCTCTATCATTTGATTAAATTGTCCAGATTTAAGCATTTTGCTGCAATGGGTCAGTATATGTGATGGTCAGTACATATGGAGCCATGGGCATTCCAAAGTCATTACAAGCAATGAGGGAAGAGCAAGGCTTTGCCTGCTAGGGTGTGCAATATTCGTGCTTTTTTTCTTATAAATTAATTCACTGAGATTCAAAGTTAGTAGGAATGTAGCAATAATCTAGAATATGAAGGCTTACATGAAAAGGGCAAAAAACCATTGTCAAGTTACACTCCTCCCCAAATAAGAGTGGAATTTGTTTGGATTATTACATACCTCAATGCACACAAGAGTACCCAAAATGAGGAGGAGGAAAAGAGTGCTTAACTTCATGTTGCAAGCCAAGATCTAATTTGATATACTAGATACTTCCAGTGACTCAAGTATCAGTATATTTGAATATTTTTAAAAATGTTAATTATTTCTGTTGGCTTGCAGTAGTATTTTAGTACCACAAGTGTTGATACAGTAATGTCTGCTCAGCTTCTCTGATATTAACATCCAGAATGCAGTTGGGTAACGTATCTTCTTATACAACATGTTGCTACTGTCTAGGGGTACAGTACAGAGGCACTAAGAGTGAAAAGACATACATAGCATAATACGTCGAGGCTTAACTGCAGCAGGAGACATATGAGCTATGAAGATCTATTGCTCTGGTAAATCAAAGCATATTAAATGTGGTTTCTATCAAGTCCAAACCAGTTATGATTTGCTGCTATAAAAAGGGTTGGGAGAGAATATTAAATCAAACAATGTGCAGGCAAAGTGTTTTGTCTCTTCATTTTATGAAAGATGATTTGCACAGAATTAAGCACTTGCCATATATAAATAAATGCTAGTTTAGCACTTATTGTTTTACAATGAGATTGCTTTAGCTTTGGGACTTCTTGGGTTAAAGAGAGAATAAATGGCTTGAATACTGTATAGGTTCAGCCTAAAATAAAAATAGCTGATTTAACCACAGAGGATGAGTCCTAATGGTAGGGTATATTAAAAAGGATGAACACATGTTCACTAGTTCTGGCTGTTCATCAAGCACTATGGCTGCACTCATTTTAATAGTTTTTGTGCAGGGCTCCACTGAAAGAAATGTGGAATTCACAGCAATAGCTGTTGGTCAACTGCATCCCAAAATAACTTGGTTTGAAGACTGAAGACTGAAAAGAATAAAAATATGACAGAACTGACTACCATACATGCTGGCAAGGCCTCTTTTAAATATATGACTTAAGCAGGGTTGCACTATAATTCTGACAGACTTCAGACAGCAGAATGCAGGAAAAATGTCCTCTTCCACCAACATTATGCACAGTTCTTGACAGTTTTTAAACTTAAAAGTTAAACTTATTTAATCTACTTAACTGTCACTGAATGAATGGACTTTTGAATCAGCAAACTGCAGACAATGTTGACATGTAAGTAATTTGACCTATAGCTCTCATCTCAGACTCCACATTACAAAATAAAGTCTGCAAAGTAATTCATATCTTAATAAAACAAATGGTAATTTAAAAACAGAACTGAGACAAGTTGGGCCGATACATTTCATCTTTAGAAGATCACAACCATCTTTATAACTCTGTGTAAGTGTTGGGCCTTTGGCGGATTGTGGCTACTTATCTGTCAAGTTTCTATACCAAACTCACACTTGCTCTCTTGCGTATATGAAAAAAACAAAAGAAAAGAAAACGAAAACAATTTTTTGGCTCATTGACTTCCTTTAAATAATTTTAAAAAGTTTTAGTTCAAACAATTCTAAAACTATATGATTTCACTTCAAGTTTCATCTTCTCCAGGAGCGAGATTCATCTTCATCTTCGTCGTCATCATCATCATCTTCAGGCAAAATCAAGTCTGAAGTTTCTGTCTCCTGAATAATGAGAAAATATAACTGGCTTACTGGAAATTACCACAACCAGAACAGATGCCAACAAAAGCAAAAGTTCGGTTTGAGTTGATAATTCTAGCGTAGTTTTATTGGCTAAAAATGTGCTGGGATAACCCCTACATGGACTACATACCTCATGTTAAAATCATAGAGAACACACAGCAAAACTTGACTTTAGGCGGTAAAGTATGGGTGATTCTGAATGCTGTGAAGTGACTGTAAATATTTATAAACCACCTGATCCATGCTGTGAAGCTACTTTAATTGTAATCCTACCAGAGTATTGAGGATTATGATTTTGTCACATAACAGGAAATACTGGCAAGCTACAAGCTCTTTTCAAGATGTTATGTATCTAAGAATGCCTTTGAAATAGCTTTCATTCAATCTTTTTGTATCCCAAAAAAGGTCTAAAAGAGGTTTTGAAGAGCAAGCTACTCAAACTTCATTCCAATACCTCTTCCTTGGGTTCTTCTTCCTCAGTTTCTGTGGATACAGAGGGTACCTTGGGTTTATGCCATGATATCTGAAGTCGTCGATCTTTGAACTTTAACCCTTGGTTGGCAGCCTAAAGCAAGATATTTGATAACAAGACAGCAATGCATGTTATATGCTGAAATATTCAGTCGCTATATACCATCTGTTGCCATGCCAGGCTGATGTCTACCGAATCTATCAGCACTTACTGATAGATTCAGCCTTTCCACTATATAATAATCACTGCAAATTCTCTAGACTCTAAGTTCTTTTCTGATAATTTTAAATGAAGGTTAACTTTGGCTGAATTATTAGCCAATGATCAAATCTAAAACAGGAACAAAATTCATATATTCAAAAATTAGAAAATCTTTTCCGTTGAAATCAAAAAGGAAAAACCACTTATATTAACTGACCCTAATTTCCTGTGAGAAAAACAAAGGGATTTAAAATATATAATATTTATATACGAGCAAGTAATACTACTTTACTTACATTTTCAGCTTCTGAGCGGGACTTAAATGTCAGAACAACACTTAAAGGAAAATCCTCTTCTTGAAGGCCTTCAATATCTCCAAATTTCTGTAAGAAACATGGTAGAAATGAACTCTACCCATGCTCTTCCAGTGCTACATACCAATTCAGCAGGGGTGCTGAACCTCCGATAACGGAGCCAAATTCAGCTCATCTGATGTCTCCATGTGACCCTCTGGGGTTCTTTCCCGGTTCCAGCACTTTTCTCATTGACTGGTTATTTCTTGACTTTTGCACAGTTCTCTTCCTATCTAAAAGTCTGAAATCTTTGTTGAAGCTTTACTTACTGGCACCAAGTACTTCGTGCTGCAGTACATTGGCATTTTTGTACTTTGAACACACCCATTTTGCTTTTGGCCAGACCCACTTTTGCCTTGACTCACCCACCAATGGAACATGGTCATCTAGAAAATGAATCAGGTTGAAAGAATTTCACTGTCCTAGCAATACACTATCATGCAATAAAAGTCAATGTGGTGTAGTGGTTAGAATGTTAGAGTAAGATCTATTTCAAACTTTTGCTCAGCCATAAAACTCACTGAGTGACTTTGAGCCAATTACATTCTCTCTTAGATAAAATGTCTGAACAACATATGGTATGTATGCATGGTTGTGGAAAGAAATACAAATGGTTCATGGTACACTTAGGGAAATGTGAGATAACAGGCTACTTCTGGAGGACAGAATATGTTGTCATATAGGTTCTATAGTTAATACTTAGAAAACATATTCAGAATATCTTATTGGTAATATTATATTCCTGTTTGGATAAAGAAAAGGTATGGCCTCCATTTAATGAGGTGGTGGAGGTATAAGCAGGTATTTGCTTTCATCATATTTTGTAGAGCTCTTAAAGAATTGAAACGTTTTAGCCAAGATAGAAATGTAGAAACAGAGTGAGTCAGAAGGGGTCCCCAGGCCATCTAGTGTGACCCCCGGCTCCAGCCAGCTCCACTCATGACATGCCTATCATGTGCATGTCTAGCCTATCCTTGAACACCCTCACCGATGGGGCTTCAACTACCTCCTGTGGAAGCCCATTCCATTCCATACCCTCAGGATTCTAACTGCCAGGAAGTACTTCCTGGCATCCAAATTGAACCTTGGTTCCCTGAGCTTTGCTCCGCTGGAGCGCATCCTGCCCTCCTCTGCAGGGGAGAACAGGTCTCTACCCACCAAATAAAGACATTTCTGACATTCTGGAAATCTGAAAAAGTATTACAACTAGACCTAAGAGATCAGATGAAGATCACTGTCAAGATTATAACTTGGATCTTGAAGGCTTGACTGTGACTAGAAAAAAGTTTATAATATCCCTTCATTAAAATAATGGCTCCATAAAATATGGCGTATAATGATTAGGAGCAAGTTAAAAACAACTACAACTCTAATTCAGGAGAAAAAGAATGCAATATATAATTTTATCAGTAATTGAGTATCTTTTATTACTTACTGGGATAGTAAATTTTATACAGTTATGTGTATTTTATATTGTCATTTATGTATTTTAATTTATTTATTTGTAAGCCACGCCGCGAGGCTTTGGCGAATGGGGCGGACTAGAAATTTTCTAAATAAATAAATTCAAACAAAATAATGTTCTGTTGACTTTACCATAAGGTATGTGGTATAGTTTATTTGATTAAATTACCATAGAATCGGCAACTGTGGATCAGCAACTACAAGGAACAGTTATTAAGTTATGGACTTTGAACTTGTGTGCTGATTATAAATTTTTCTAATATGCTTTTCTCTATTATTTTTAGCATTTCTATGTCCTATATAAACAATAAGAATACACAGCAAGTAGCAAACCATTAAACAGGAAACCACTAAACAGGAAATAGGAATATGTATATATTCATGAAATATACACATTTGTTACTTTATGCATTACACAGTAGCTACAGTGACAGTTACTTCAAGAACTTCATTTATTAAAATCATACCTAAACACAGATTTGATGTGTACATTGCTATAAATGAGCTGTGTATGCTGAAGTCATCAGCCAGCATCTGCACTTATGACAAACCTGGCTTCAATATAGCTTCTCTGCACAATTTGCTGAAGGTGAAGTCCCCTCTGCCTTTCACTGAGTGTTACTATTTGTTAAGAGCATTTGCTATTAAGTCTTCTCTCAGGAAGCTGCCTAATCTGCCATGTGGAGCTTCCTTCTGGGAAGAAAACCACTTGCGGATTTATCAGGAGAACCATTTGTGCCATAGCAACAGAGTCCCAGGGAGCCTTTGTTATCTTTCTCTGACAGCCATGCCCTTATTCCAAGCCACCAGTGATGGCAATTATGTTTACCATGAGATAAAAATCAAGAGAAGAGAAAGTTGCATTAGAAATAGATGCGGCAATCCCAAATCAGATAAGAATAGGTTACTCCTGTCAATTTCTAAACAAGGCTTAGTGATTCAGAAAAAGGAAACAACATTTTTGGAATGTCATTAGGTTCTCAAATGACAAGGGAGGCATAGTTAAGTGCCACAACTGAGGGGTTTCCATAGGCACACACTTACTGATAGCTGAGTCAGATCTGACTGTGCTGCTGTGACTCAGTTCAACTGACTGTACAGACTGTGCATTTTCGTGCAACTAAGTCCCACTCTGTTATGATTAGCAATTTCCCAAGCATGCGTAAGATTTCAGCCACAATTGCAAAGTTTTTAATCTGTACATTCTTTGTAACTCATGCATGGCCTATTGTATGTTAGCACATATGGGGAGGTTAAGAGTATTGGATAAATTACTTTTATTATTTTTAATATGTGCCTGAAATTGTGTTCTGTTTCCTTAATGAAATCTTGCTTTTGTTCATGCTCTTGCCACTATAAAGGAGAAAGTTCAAGCCAAGTTATATGTATCTAACAAAGAGTATAATGGTGGTGCAGTCACCCAAACTGCTAATTGTTTGTAAATCCCCAGAAACCTCTATGCACCTCTTTGTAAAAGAAAGGGCTGAAATGGTACCCGCCCTTTGGTATTAAACTCTAAGCATGTCAAGTCAAGTCACTCCAGAGAGACTCCAAACATGCAAGGTCATTCACATCAACTCGGAACCCATAACAGTTCCAAAATTCATTCCAATTGTCCTTTATCCAGACAGTTTCAGTTGCCTGGATAAGCATTTTACCATAGATCAGGGGATCTCTGAAATATGGCAGAATGGAAGCTATAAACAAATATTGCTTGGAACAATTGATTTCGTCTGAAAATGAAACAAATGCAGACAAAGAAAACAATACAAGTGGCCTAGATTAACCATAAAACCACCCAATACTGTGCTTAAAATGAACAAAATTCACTTTTAGGGCAGCCATGGCTGTATATTAACCTAGAGTGCACAACAGAAATTGGAGATTTCAATCAAACCTCAGCTGCAAATTGCTGACTTACTGAAAAGTGCCGCAGCAATTCATCTTTTTCTTCTTCTGCAAATCCCCCAATTGTTAGTGCTTTGGGACGGTGGTCCACTACCATGTGATTCACTATTCCTCTCCCTCTTCCTCCACGACCTCGTCCTCTCCCTCTGCTTTGAGCAGAGACTGCTTTTCCATGACCAACAGGCAGGATACCTAAACGGGCAGCCTATGAGAAAAAGAAATATATTGCACTTTTCATGGATTTTGTTCTACGTAGTATATACTAAAATAATACTACAATCAGAATGGCTGACTGTAATAGTAACAAGAATAACTTTGAAAACTCACCTCCACTTGTAACTGGGTGAGCTTTTTCCTTAATTCTGTTGTATCTTCCCCTGATGACAGTCTTTTATGGAAATCCAGTTCTGCATCAAGTAGTTCCTTTTGTGCCTTTGAAGTGTTGTGGGGCAATAAAATAAAGAAAATTAGTTTGCATTTTACTCTATTTCACTATAGTCAAAAGTGTTAAGATGCTTCCCTCTTGGGTTTCACTTTGCTATGTTCCCAGGGCTCACAGACCTTTCTGAAAGAAGCATTTAAAAGCTGTCCTTTGGGGTCTCTTTGGAAGGTGGGGGGTATCAAATGTCAGCAATAAATACTGTAAGGTAGAGGGAAACTGAGTACTTTTACAGTATTAAGAGTGGCTGACACCAATTCAGATTATATGTGATCCGTGAAGGTGTGTTAGGAAAACTGCAAACTCTTATTAGAACATTCCAGCATTTTGTTTTGTGTGAAGGGGCACATTTATTTTATTTATTTATTTATATATATATATATATATATATATATATATATATATATATATATAAAACATTTCTATGCCGCCCCATTTGCAAAGAGCCTTGGGGCGGCTTACAAAACAAGCGCACGCACGAACGCACACATGCACACATATTTGACGGTTAAAGCGACAGAGCAGCATTTCTTTACAAATCTGTACTTCTTGGAATTTTGCAGATGATTTTACAATGGGCTGACAAAGGCCTGTTATGCCTATGAAGAACAGCACCAAAATCAATAATGTCAACAAGATCACTGATACAGCTTGTTACTGACTATAAACATGAAAATCATATGCAAGTTTTATGCACCTTTCCATTTCACTTTCACACCAATCCAGTACGGCTGCACGCCACAGATTAGCTCCAAGTCACCCGAGTGAGCTACCCGAACCTGGTTCTTCAGTATTCGAACCAACCCCCATACTGGACAAAGGCGTCCCACTATTTGTCCCACCTCCCCACTGGTTACTTGTGTTTGAAAATGCAGAAAATATGATTCTATTGCATTTTCACAGGTGAAAGCTTTCAGTTGGTGCTGCAGGAAATATCTTTACAATATGCTGTGGCACAATCATCTGTACCATCCTTTTCACTTTCACATTAGCCTATCAATTTCACTTTAAGCTGGGAAAGTTGGAGATGCTTTTTATTCTGTTGACTGTAGGTTTGGCTAGTTACAAGCAACCCAACAAAGGAACGTATTCCTCCTTCAAAGCCAATTAAATTTTTATTTTATAAAATTGCACCAAAAATGAAAAGTTCAGCTATCATGTCACCCAGTTACAGAAGTGGTGTGCTGGATTAAACCAAAGATTTATCTAGCCCAGCATTTTGTTCTGCCAGTGGCCAGCCAGAGAGCTTTTGAAAGTGTACAAAAAGGACAGGAATACAATAGTACCCTCCCACATAAACACTGCTTATAGGCTTCCCACACAGCAACGCTACCTTGATACTGGAAGTAACATATAGCTATACCGACTAAAGGTCATTAACAGCTATATATACATTACACAAACTGTAAAGTATCTTTCATTCTATCCTCTGCTCATAGATGGAATTAGATTTTGCGCAAATACATTCATATGCATTTGCATAAATTTGCACTTGTACAAATTCAAATCTCTTGAAAATGTGCAAATTCCCCATTATGTATACTTTAATGCTTTAGCCCATGGGAGAAATGTGCATTTTTAGTTTTTGTAATTGGCTACATCTAAGATCATATAAATATTATGAAAAAGAGGACTACAAGTTGACAAAACCCACACAACTCAGGAAAAGCCCATCTGTTGTAAAATCCATGAGTCTGAATCCATTGTGGATTTCTCTGGCATCCCTAACTTTGACTATGCCCAATATAAAGAAGTACTTCCTTTTATTTGTCCAGAATGTACCACCAGTGAGTTATATTGGGAGGGCTAAAGCTCTAGTATTTTGAGAAAGAAAAATTTCTACCTCCCTACCTGATGCACCATGCATACACCTTTATCATGTTTTGCCTTCCTTGCTCTTTTACATCAACTAAAAAGCCCCAAATATCGAAACCTTGTCTCCCATGGAACTAGCTCCCACCCCTTGATAATTTTGGCTACCTTTCTTCAAGTTCTACAAGAATCACTTTGTGGTGTACTGTACTCAAAACTGTACTCAATATACCAAATGAATTCACACTATAGATCTGCATAGACATATTATAATATTGGCATTTTGATTTTTGATTCTTTTCTTAATGATCTCCAAATGGATCCTGGCTTCACATTTGAATGACATTTTCATCAAGCTAGTCCTCACAGCCCTAAGACCAATTTCTAGTCACTTCCAGCTCAGACCATTATCTTGTAATGTTAACCACTGGTTATTGCTGTTTAATACCATTCCATGGGTATGGAATGGTCTTCCATGGGAAGTGGTTGAGGCACCATCGGTGAGGGTGTTCCAAGATAGGCTAGGCATGCACATGGCAGGCATGTTATGAATGGAGATGGCTGGAACTGGAAGGCGCCTTCTGACTCGCACTGTTTCTGTTTCTAATACACAGTAACTACAGAAGGAAATACAGAAAATGTAGCAGTGATGCATTTCTAGTGATTATTCTAGTTATGTCATATTATGCGACTGATTTGTTTAACTTCAAGAAGCAGACACTGAAACGTCAGCTGAGTATCTTGACTTGTAAATGCAGCTTGCTATTTGTCATGTTTTAACTATGCGTCATCAAATAATCTGACTTAGGACATTTTGGAGGGCTTTCATTATCTGGCCAGGGCGACTTCTTTTACATTTTATATTTTTATTTATTTTATATTGTTAATTTTAATTTTATATTGTTTTTTTGTATTTTATTGTATTTTATTGTGTTTGTAAGCCGCCCCAAGGCTTCGGCAAGGGGCGGCATAGAAATGTTCTAATAATAATAATAATAATAATTCATAGGGTGGTCGTATCTGTGACATTCTTGTTCAGTTCTTGAACATTCAAGGCTGTGACTTCCTTGATGGAGCCAACTACTGCCTTCAACTTTTTCTAGCATGATTGTCTTCTTCAATTGAGTCTTGCCTTCTCATGATGGGCCCACAGTATGACAGTCTCAGTTTTGCCATTTGTGTTTCCAGGAAAACCTCTGGTTTGATTTGATCTAGGACCTACCCATTCAATCTCTTTGCCAGTTCAGGGTATTTACAGAGCTCTCTTAGCAGCATGTTTCAAATGCATCAATTTTCTCTCAGTTTTCTTTACTGTTCAGCTTTCACACCCATAGAGGTCAGGAATACAATAGTGTGGATTATCTTAGCCTTGGTCCCCAGTAAAGCATCCTTACACATAATAATCTTTTCTAGTTCCTCCATGTCTATTCTTCCAAGTTCCAGTCTTCTAATTTCTTGGGTGCAGTCTCCATTTGTACTGCTGACAGAGCCAAGGTCTGCAAAATCTTTCCCAATTTCAGTTTCTTCATTATTAACAGTAAAGTTCTGTAATTCTTCTGTACACATGATTTTTGTATTCTTAATATTCAGCTGCAGTCCTGCTTTTGCACTTTCTTCTTTCACTGTCATCAGTTGTTGTTTCAATTCATACTGCTTTGTCAGTAATATGGTATCATCTGCATATCTTAAATATGTCTACTGCCTATTTTCATTCCTTCCCTCAGTTCCTAATTCAGCTTTCCTCATATGTTCTGCATAGAAACTGAACAGATGGAAAGATAAAATGACCCTTGCTTTACCTATAGGAAATCATTCTGTCTCTCCCTATTCTGTCCCAGCAGTAGTTTCTTGTCCCGTGATATACGTTACACATTTGGGCAAATCAAGTGCTGAGGTACTCCCATTTCTTTCAGAACCATCCATAGCATCTTGTCAAAGCCTTTGCTGTAGTCTACAAAGCATAGGCTGATCTTCTTTTGAAATTCTTTGGTGCACTCCAGTAGCTTTCGTGTATTAGCAATATGATCTCAAATGCCTCTTCCTTTTTGGAATCCAGCTTAAAAGTCAGGCACATTTCTTGCTCTACGTACTATTTTTGCAACACCTTAAGCATCACTTTGCTTGCATGAGAAATTAGTGCAATGGCCCTATGATTCCTGCACTCTTGTGCATCTCCTTTCTTGGAGACTGGAATGTATATTGTTCGCCATTGTTTGGTTTTCCTTATGTGTAGGCATACTTGTTAAGATTTGGACCAATGCATTCTCTGCAGCTTGGAATGGTTCTACTGGTGTCTTATCTACTCCAAGTGCTTTGTTCCTCACAAATGCTTTCAGAGCAGCTTTCATTTTGCTTTCTAATGTTGCAGGCTCTTCCTCATAGGATTCTTCTTTGAAGGAGTCTGTCATCTTTTTTATCTCTTCAGTACAGTTCTTCTGTATATTCTTTCCACCTTTATTTTCCCCGGTCAGATAGTATGAAATGCTGTTTTGTCTATCAGCATTCCTAATCGAGGTTTGAATTTCTTTTTTGATCTTGGATCTTCTGGAAGAGGCCTCAAATTTCTGTTGGTGATCCTTTTCAGCTTTACCCTGCTCTTTAATATTAACTGTTCATGGTCTTAGTTTGGCAGCAAGAATATTCCTTATGCTCCTGATTACATAGCCAACCTGAATTCTGTATTGGCCATGTGGTGATGTCCATTTATGCAGCTGCCTGATTGGTTGCCTGAAGTATGTATTTGTAATAAGAGATTGTTGGCTTCGCAAAATTCTATGAGTCATTCTCTTACTTCTTTTCTTACGCCTAGACCAAACTCTCACAACATTTGATTCCACTCTGTTTCCTATTTTTATGTTCCAGTTACCTATGATTATCAGTATGCCTTGTTTTGGTGTGCTATCAATTTCTACTTTAACACCTGCATAAAAGTTTTGGATTTCTTCTTCAGCGTCTGTTGTTGAAATATAGGATTCAGTTGGATTTTGCATTATAGCTCCTTGCTGACTGTGCTGCATCTTGCCTCAGTATTAGAGCCACTCCATTCTGCTGAGCCTGCCATTTCTGGAGTAAAATGCTTTGCATTTGTTTGACTAAAAATGCCATCTTCCAGTCCACTTTAGTTTGTGCACACCTTATAACTGCAACGTTTAGCTGTTCCAGTTTGCCTTGATTCATGCTTCTCACATTGTTTTCTAACTGCATGTGCTATGCAGAATCAGACTTTCCTTTTACCTCTCTGCATCTCAGCCACTAGTATTTCTTTTGGCTCTGATCCAGTTGGGTCATTAGCGACAGTGCTATTTGTACTTTTCCTTTGCTCTTTCCCTGCAGCTTGCTGGTCCCCAGTAGTCTTCCAAACTGGAGGTCTCATCTTCTGGCACTATCCTTCATTTCATTTTGGATTGTTCCATCACAGGGTTTTCAAAGTAAGAAGATTCAGAAGTGGTTTGCCATTGTCTTCTTCTGTGCAATACTAACCAGAGATAGCTTGAGCATTATAGCCACTGCCTGTGAAGGGTGCTCTGCCAGCGATGCCATCAACGCTGCCTAGTGGCTCCTCTTCAAGAGTTTCTCCACTCCCATCACAACTAGAGATATCGTGAGGATTACTCCTGAAGAGAGTGGATGCATCTTAGTCTGGTGTCTTTGCCTTGACCATTTGACCTTGGGTGACTCTGCTAAGAAACTAATACAGTGAGACAGTCTGGCCTCCTGGTGACATTGCTCTTGGCTTCTGACACTCTCAAACCCCCTCATCAAGATACCAGGATTTTAATGTGAAACCCACAGGCCAAAGAATGAAAACAGATTACTACAACTATGGCCCCCTTCATGGATAAACCATGCTCTGAAGAGGCTGCAGGTGCAAGGTCCCTAATAGTGTAATGTAGGCATGCAAGCACAATTTGTGGGTATCAAGGGTAACAGGAAAAGGACCAGGAAATTGTGTAACTGCTCTTCAATGTATCATCACTACTTAACAAAAAGACCTCTATTGTGCCAATACTCATAGACAAAGATAGCTGTCTATAGACATACAGCCAACAGCAGCATTTACAATGAAGACACAATAAAGGCTCTGGAACCTGCTCTCCAGAGAGGTGTGCTTGCTGCCAATGCTTTATTCATTTCAGCACCAGGCCAAAACTTTTTTTTATTTTCCCTAAATTTTAAGGTTTAATGTTGTTTCAATGATTGGTTTTAAAGTAGCTCCTATGTGAAGGAGGCCTACCTCTGTTTTGGACTTTAGCTTCGATGTAGAAGTAGCAGATGAAGTTTTTAATTCATCTTTCAATTGAGAGATTTTTACTGTAAGCTCTTTCAGTGTCTTCATGAGCTCTGCCCTTTCCTCTGGTTTCATAGTTTTCTTTTCCAATTTTGATATTAACATCTATGAAAGTAAAAATAAAGAAATCATAAAGTATGCAAAGAGTCTAACCAAATCCCTTACACACTTTAATGTTAAAGTGTTACATTTTAAAAAATTCAAGTATACCTTTTGACATTCTATTTGTTTCTCGAGCATTTCCTGCTTTTTCTTCCTCATATCTTGTTGTAATTTCATCGCTTCCTAGTGAAGAAAAAAATACTTTTAGCTTAATTTCTATGGTTACAAAAACATACGGTAAAACCTTAGATTGTGAGTAACTTGTTCTGTGAATGTTCTGCAAGATGAGCACACATTTCTAATAAATCCAACTTGATAAACAAGCAATGTCTTGTAATAAGAGTAGTATGTGTCACCAAATGTCACATGATCACAACTGAGCCAATGGCTCTTCTTTCTCTCTCTCTTTTGAAATCAAAAAAGGAGGC